AGAGCCCGAGGCAGGCAAATCACATGAGGTCAGGAGTTTGAGACCAGCCTGGCCAATATGGTGAAACCCTGTCTCTCCTAAAAACACAATAATTAGCCAGGCATGGTGGCGCTGTAGTCCCAGCTGCTCAGGAGGCTGAGGCAGGAGAATCGCTTGAACCCAGGAGGCAGATATTGCAGTGAGCCAAGATTGTGCCACTGCACTCCAGCCTGGGCAACAGAATAAGACTCTGTCTCAAAACAAAACAAAACAAAACAAAAAACCACTACAGAGGTTGTATTCCAACGAGAACATGGGAGGCAGGAAAGGTGCTCTAGGGGGAGCAGAAGCAAGGAAGAGGGAAACGAGAGCAGGTGTGGAGCCGGCTGTGCAGCTGGGGTGCTATCTGGGAGGAGGAGCTGGGGAGAAGGAGGGAAGCTGCTGTGTCTCTAACCCCATAAGCAAGCCTCACCAGAGACTCCAGCCCCAGGAACTGGGGAGGGTTTCTCACTGGAAGCATGCCCGCAATGCCGGGATCTGTTTCCATCTGCTCATTTTACTGCTGAGTTGTAAAGTGCTAAATGTCATTATCCTCCCCTTCCTTAAACAAGGAAAAAAGTTAACAGTCTGAGAAAAGGCGATATTTCACTTCATTTGGCATCCAGCCACCATCACCCACATGGGTGCTCCCTTGGGGTCTGGCTAGGGAGGGAGAGGAGCCCTGTTCTGTTCTGCTTTCAGCATCTAACACCGCTCTGTGCAGGCTCCAGGCTGGGTGGCCAGGTCGCAGCTCAGCCTGGCTGTTGGCAGAGGAGCCAGCCACCCTCTGAACAGCTCAAACACTGCAGTAGGTGCCAAAATGGAGGAAAGTAACTGGTTCAGGGTCACTCTGCTCATTAGGGTCTGTTCTATATCGCCTGAGAAGGTGAACTTGAACCAAGGAAAATTACAGATTTCAACTCAATAGGACAAACTCAGAAGACTTAGACTTGTTGAAAAAATGACTCCTTCATGAGGTAGTGAGCTGTTCGTCTGCCAGTGGCAGGCAAGTGTTGACTAGACCCCCCTTTCAGAAGCCTCACTGTAAGGAGGAGTCTGCTGGTCGGTGGCAAAAGAGCTTGTGACTCAGGTTCTTTCCAATTCTGAGACTCTGGAAACCTGTAACTGAGAATCTCACCCATTTTCACCATCTTTAACATGCCTTGCCCCTGCCGTCTAAACAGGAGTTTCTGGCTGCCTGATGATGGCATGGCATGACACAGAGGGAGTGAGCAGGCAGAGCAAGGTGTGATTCATCTTCATTGTTCTGATTACGGGGTCATTAAGGCTTTCACTCTGCAGTGCTCCCTCGAGGAACTCCTGCTGCTTCGGCTATATGACACTGATCCTCACAGCGGCCCAGTGGGCAGGGGTGTCCCTCAGGGCTCAAAGCCGTACTTAAACAAACCCATTGAAGCTGCAGTCCTTGGAGACTGAAGGGGGCAGCATTAGGCCAAATCCCAAGGTCCAGAAACAGCCATGCCCTCGTCTCCATTGGGCTGTGGAAAGGCCACTAACCCAGGATGAGTATGGCTGGTGTGGAGAGATTAGTGTTGCTAGTTAAAGCCTTCAATAGCTTCCCTTAGGTTTCCCACTGATCCCTAGGGCCCAGTATAACTTGCTCACCATGGTCCAGACTGTGACCTCCCTGAAGGCAAGGACAGGGTCTGTTTTGTTAACCACTGTAGCCCCAGAGCTTGGCAGTATGCTGGGACCTTGACCAGCGCTTGGTAAATATCTGTTGAGTGAGTGAATGGAAGACCTTGGTAAATATCTGTTGAGTGAGTGAATGGAAGAGCCAAATGAAGTGGTCTTCCTGAATGTGACAGAAGTGAACTCATCAAGCGGGCATTCCTAAAAGGGCAGACAGCGCTGTACCACCCAGATCGCACGTGGAATTGTAATCCCCAATGTTGGAGGTGGGGCCCGGTGGGAGGTGATTGGATCGTGGGGGTGGTGTCTCATGAATGGTTTAGCACCATGCCCCTAGTGCTGTTGTCACGACAGAGTTCTCACCAGGTCTGGTTGTTTAAAAGTATGTAGCACCCCCACCCCCTCTCTTGCTCCTGCCCTGGTCATGTAAGACATGTCTGCTTCCCCTAAAACCTTCTCCATGATTTGAAGGTTTCCCGAGGCCTCCCAAGAAGCTGAGCAGACGCCAGCATCATGCTTCCTGTACCTCCTGAGGAAACATGAGCCAATGAAACCTCTTTTCTTTATAAATTACCCAGTCTCAAATATTTCTTTGTAGCCATGTGAGAAGGGACTAGTACAATGAGTCTGGAGGTTTGGACAAGTCCCTGATCTTTGGGCCTCAGTTTTCCCAATCACGGAATTGGGGAACTGGCGTGAGGCTGGATAGGAGATAGGAAGAAAGGCCATGTTTTCTGGTTGAGCTCTAGACCTTAAGGACCCTTGGGCTGCAGAACTGGCCCCAGCCTCTGTCATGTGGACCTGGTAATGGACCCATCTTTGGGACTGAGGTGCCACATCACTGCTGGGTGTTTACTGAGTTCAGTAGCCAAAACTTAGTCTGTCCTCTATGCCAAGCTCACTGCGGGCCATGGCACCAAATGGGTTGTGGTTCCTGCTATGAATGACCCAGAGTCTAAATGGAAATGGATATGCAAGGAGAAGGAAAGAAATGCAACACAGTGGGGCGAAATGGCCGAGAGCTCTGCATCTGTGAAAGGGAGTGATTCATGAGAGGCGGTAGGATGTGCAAGACTTCCTGGAGGGGGTACCTTTGAGCTGAGCATTTGGGGTAGAAATGACAGGAAAAATGCCAGTGGGGGGAAAGGGTGGACAAAGGCACCAAGGTAAGGCAGTGTGGGAGCAGAGATCAGGGGTAAAGTGACAGGCAGGGTTGGTGCTCGCAGGGCACAGAAGAGGCCCAAGTCTAGGCGGAAGATGACACAGCTCCTGCACAGGGCTGTGTTCCAGGAGGGAGCACTAAACCACGCTGGCCTGGTTCAGATCCTGGCCCTTCACATACATACCTGTGACCTTGTTCTGTGTCTCAGTTTTCTCATCTGTAAAATGAGGATTCTAATAGCTAACCTTCAGAGCTGCTGAGAGCATTAAGTGAGATGACAACATGAGAGTACATTAAGTGAGATTACATGAGATCGGCACGGAGTAGGCAGTCTGGGAAATGGTTCTCTCTCTCTCTTTGGCCTTTTGTTAATATGCAGATACTCCTGAGATAAGCTATAGTGGGCGTCTGTTGGCCACTTATGAAATTAGGGTGAACGAGATTATCAGAAAGTTTACTGAAAAAGTTATGAGAGGACAGGGAGGCGAGGAGGGGGAAATGCATGCCTTTGGGGACAGAAAAGGCAAGAAAGGAGACAAAGACAGACTTCAGCAACCTCTAAGTTTTGCCAGCAGACTGCCTTAAATTCAGTTTGTTTGTTTAAGGAAGGAGAAGAAAGAAATGGGTTTCCAGGCTGGTAGGCATGGTGGCTCAAGCTTGTAATCCCAGCACTTTGGGAGGCCGAGGCAGGCGGATCATGCGGTCAGGAGTTCGAGACCAGCCTGGCCAACATAGTGAAACCCCGTCTCTACTAAAAATACAAAAAATTAGCCAGGCATGGTGCTAGGTGCCTGTAATTCCAGCTACTCAGGAGGCTGAGGCAGGAGAATCGCTTGAACCCAGGAGGCGGAGGTTGCAGTGAGCTGAGATTGCTCCATTGCACTCCAGCCTGGTCGACAGTGCAAGACTCCATCTCAAAAAAGAAAAGAAAAGAAAAAAATAAGTGGGTTCCCATCCTCGGGATGATCATGGGTCACAGTCTTGGGCAGAGGAGGGATGGGGTGGGTGGGGTGGGAGTGGACAGGGCTGTATGTAGCCTGCTGTTGAGTCACCTTCTGGCCTCTGCTGCAGTGGCCATGAGAGGAGAAGGAGGGCGAGAGAATGTCACCATTCAAAGTGGTGAACCATGGTGAGCCATGAGGTGGAATTCAGGATCCTTAGAGGGGCCTCACTGCCAGGTTTGACAGGTACCCGGAATGCCACCATTACTGTTGAAGCATTGTCCCAGCGGATATCAGAGTGACCCATGTAACAAGTGACACACAAACCTTTAACATATAAACACTGAATACTTTCGTGTTGATCAGTTTATTAGTATTTTTCCAAACCTGAAGAAGGGTGAAAATAAGTTGGAGGTACAGCGTGGGGAAAACAGTAAGTGCAGCTTTGGACACACCACTTCCCTCCTACAGCTCTCAGTGTTCCCCTCTGCACAATGACGGGCTTGGAGTGTTGATGTCTAAGGCACTGAATTTCAGTCTGTTCTCCATCCCTCAGTGGATATGTGAGATGCAGTGCAGGGGTGCTGGCCTGTCCCTGGTAATGAGTGAGGACATGGGCAAAGCAGTGAGTGCAGCCTGGAATCCCAGCTACTTGGGAGGCGGAGGTACAAGAATCGCTTGCACTTGGGAGGCTGAGATTTCAGTGAGCTGAAATCTGGCCACTGCACTCCAGCCTGGGTGACAGAGTGAGGCTCTGCCTCAAAAA